TATATATATATAACACGCTATGACTGAAACTAAAATGATGCTACAGGTTGGGGTTACAGTGCCTCTAGTGTGTGTGTGTGTGTGTGAGAGAGAGAGACAACTCTGACACTAGACCAGATGCGTAGATGCAAAAAATTAAACCCGAGAAAAAAATAATAATAATGCCATTTGAAAATATAAACCACAGTTGATCAATCAACTCACTTCACACGATCAGCAATATGTGTGAATAATTCCGGACGCCAAGCGGGCATGTGAGTGACCACAATATCGGCACAATCGGGGATATATTTCCAACGATCGGCTACATCAGAAATATCGGGTAATACAAATCCGTGAGCCCGATTATCTGTGTAAGTGGGGACTGGAGGCATGGAAGACACTTCAACCGAGGGGCTGGCAACAGGCTCAGTGGTGGTCGTAGTAGTGATAGGTGCGGTTCGGTCAGAACGACGTTTGCGGTGATCTCCAATTCGGATCAATCGACCCCAATTTCTTCCGGCAAACGTCCCATCCTCGGAACGCAAATCATCCGCGGCAGTCCATGAAGTTCCGTAGATAGTTAATCCGAGTATATGACATGAAGCATCTTCCAAATAAATAGCCGATTTTAAAATTGATTGGATTTTTTCCGGTGTGGGAGCATCCTGTCGGTAGTTCGGGTTGGATCGCCAATTTTCCCAACAACCTGGAATGAATATTTTGTAGTCATGCGGTTGTTGAGCGAAAAACCGATCCAACTCTTCCACCTGATGCCGCCAATTGCTAATCAAGGAGTTGCGTCGTGCGCCAAACAGGCGAGCTAATCGGTCCCCGATACGGTGACACCAAACAGGTAATCGGGGACCACGTGACGGTGGACAGGAAACGAAATCGCCCGAATGAATCAGGATGTGCCCTTGTGGAATCTGTTCTCCTTGTGCCGTATGAGTACCTCGGGTATCGGAGATATGTACAATGCGAACAATTTTCGCTTTCGGATGCCCGACCTCACCGACTACATAGACATTAAGATTGCGGAAATTGAGAAGACTGGTCGCTGAAATCGGCTCTGTACAGTAGGATGATTTCGCCTGTGCCAGCAATTTTGCCTCATGCCTCCGGTTGGGTGTGGGTTGTCGATATTTTCGTCGAATTCTGTCGACTAACTGATTCGAAAGCGACCGGCGAGGTGATTGAACTTTGGCTATTTTTGACGACAAAACACGGATTTCACAAACAAATAATCCACAAGTGCGAACAATTGAACTGCAGATAAT